AGGTGTCAGGGAGTAGTTTTTTTAAGGACACATTTTTTGGAAAACGAAAACATTTTTTTTCTGTGGATGCCATTTAGAATCATTAATTCCTTAACTATAACAGTTTCTTATCTCATTTGTACCTTTATTTTAGTCAACAATAACAATTGCAAACTCAGCAGAATCAAGTAGGTACATTAGCTGTATACATTATATATTTACATGTGGTTATACTAGTGTTTCTAAGAGAATTAAAAGATTTTGATTTATTAGGTTGTATTGAAAGTCAAATTGTACAATCATTTTAAAGAGTGGTTAAATTTTAGAATATTTTTATATCAAACTCATTTTACTTTGCACACTAATACTGAAGCAAAACAAAGTGTGAAATAAAATCATTTATTAAATTATAGTAAATTTGGAAGTTAAAATGTAAACATATATAATTGGTTTTCTATTTAAATCTTTAGCCCTAATAAAAGACTCTTACACATTGTGATCTGTCAAGGTACCAAGATATTGAAATATTAAGTTTTTATTAGTCTAAATCTAGCATTTAGTGAAAATGAGATGAAAACAAATTCAGAAAAATTTTACACTTAAGGAAACAGATAAATCTACTCATTATAAGCTTGGATGGACATCCTATTTTTTAAAAGTTCTCATCTTTTATTTTTTATGCATGCCCTTGTTTTATCACATGCTGAGTGAGTACTCACTGTTTACCAGGCCCTGAGCAAAACTGATACAAATCCCTGCCCTTCAGGAGTTTCCATTTTAGTAGGAAGAAGGAAGCTAATATTTATTTAGAACAATTGTAGGAATTCTGATTCTTTCATAATTACGAAATCATTGAGTTGACTGGATTAGTTGCAGAAACAGGTATTATATGTCTACCATTGAGTAAACATTTATTTCAAAAGTTACCGTGCTGTTGATGAAACCATGGAATCAGAATAAAGAGTAGTCGGTTCCTTTTTGCATGCAGGGAAAATATCACCAAAAATTATATTTCATGTTTCATTTTTCTTGTAATTGACTATAGAAGGGTTTTATATAATTACTGCCTTAAGCTTGGTTCCAGGAAAGTTTGCTTTTTAAAGTACATGACATGGTATATTAGAAAGGAGGGTTGGGTTTGCATATTTATGTTGCCATGTCATTGCTGATTATAAGTATTTTAGAGGTGGATTAGCTGAAGAATGTGAAATAGCAAAGTTTTGTTGAAAGCTTTGGCACTGGGGCTTCATGGGGCGAGAGGGCGTACAACCTGTTAAAGAAAATAGGAAAATTCCAAGAATAAAGGTGTTCTGTGGCCATGAAATTTGAGTTATTTTTGGCAGTGTAATAGATATTGAACTTTATTTTTACCTTAAAAATTACTGTGCTGAAAGCATCTTGCCCCATTTGTACCATTGAGGGGGAATGCATGCTTTTCCTGTTCAAGACCTGTATTCAAGCTGATAGCACCATTAACCATCAGTAGTGGTGGTAGGAGTTATTCCTGGAAATCTTTGTTTACTTTTGGGCCATTTTAGGGACCCGAGTACCTAATACTTTATATCCTGTAGCCCAAACATCAGTACTTGTTTGATTAAATATATGGCTGTTAATGAATCATTCTAGAAAGTCATTTCGCTGTGAGATATATTTTCAGCTACATTGGTCAAGAGCTTTTAAAATTTATTTTCTATTCCAGTCTAATTTTCCCACCATATGCACATTTAAAATCAGTTTCCATAGTGACATCTGGTGGTGGTTTGAAATCTTAGAGAGTTAAGATTGGAATGATAAATATTTTTATTTAATAACTCCAGATTCCTGACTTTTTTATTATTTTTCAGCTTATTAACTACTTTTCCTGAAAATGTCTTCATTGTGCTCTTCAGATTAGAAGGCATTTATTTCTTCTGTAATGTTCCATTAAAGCAAAGGAATGATTCCTTAAGAATATTGTTGGGCGGTACATAGAACAACCTTGTCTAAACTTGTCTTTTGTACTCAAAATAGATATCATAGAATCATGCTGCAGCATCGCTCCTTTGTCTGCTTTTGTACACTGTAACCTTGAGTCAGGAAAGGTGTCATTTCCACATTATTCTTCCACTGGCTCTTTCTCTCCCTGTGTTGTCATTCTTCTTGCTTGACTGGAAGATGTTCTGTGGCTGGTCTGAGTGAGTTACCATTTCTCCTCACCGCACTCCCTGAGCTTATGCACCATCCAGTTGCATACTCTTTTTGCTATCTCAGAAAGTGAAAGGGGAAATGAAAAATAGGAGAAGAGGTAACAGGAAGAAGGAAGCTGAGAGAGGGAAATATATTTGAAGACAGATTGGAGACTATTCAGCAAGAGTGGGTGGGTGGGTAAAGGGGTGGATGGATGGATTGATGGACCCCAAAAAAAGGTGGTTGTGGGTAAGTGTTAAAGAAAAATATCTTTAAACTACAATTTTTTTTTGGTATTTTATAGAATTGTTGCAGGAAAAGTGAATTTATAACCCAGTGGGAAAAAAATCCTCATAATGTTTGCATATTATATTTTTTCCCTACTACACTGAGCCTAAAGAAAGCTTTTACATGTGGATAAACATTTAATAACTCTTGAGTACTGACAAATGAGAAAAATAGATGGAATGCAAGATTTGACTGATTTTTTGAGAGTTCTCACATTACATTTTGTTTATTTTATGCATGCCATGCTAACACTAGGACTGATGGCAATTTTTGACTTTAAGAAATTCGTGGTATTTGGACTTCAGTTCTGTCATTTACAACGAACCTGGGAAAGTTACTCATTTCACTTAATCTGAATTTTTCATCCATGTTATGGGGTTAATAACAACATATACGTAGGCAGATTAGGTAGAAAGGCTGAATAAAATAGTGAATGTAGACACTTTTAGTATTTTTGTCATGTAAACATTGAGCAAATGTGTTTCTATAACTGTTGTTAATAAATGCCTACAGAGGACATTTTAGAGGGACACAATTTTAAAAAGTAGAAAGCAATGTAAATTGAGGATTAGAACAGGAAAGAAATGTACAGGTACAGGCACCCATGCACTTGTCTTTTTGAAATTTTCTAATATTTCACCTACCAAATGAATTATGTTATGGTTTAATGAAGCAGCAGAACACAAGAGGAACATACGCACAGTCATTTAGTTAATGTGCCATCTAGTACAGGAAACATCCCTATATTCTCTGACTTCTTTTGTATCAGTTGATAGGAGTGATGAAAATGAGAAACTGGAAAAGATTATCTTCCCTTGTTGAGGCCACTCCTTTCAGACTAAAAATAGGTATAATTTTGCTAATTTACTGACTGAATTGAGTATGTATCGACTGTGTTTGGACAACAACAAAAAAAGGAAAACATTTATCTGACTGGTGTCTTTGCTGCATAGAGAAGCCATTTAGCTCCTTTTTATTTAAGTGTTCTGAGGCTGTGTTCATATTTCTAGAAATATATAAAATCAGTCTGTGGGTTTGCTAAGAATTAATGAAGCAATAGTAAATGATTGTAATGTTTCTGAAAAATAAGATTTTATGATGCTCTTTAATATTTTAATATTTAAATTTGCTACTTATAAGTTGTAAACATTTTGGAAAGGGTTAGATATGATTGTCTAGCATTAAAAATAAATGAATTTTTCTGCTAACTTCAAGTTGCCAAATATTTAAATTTATATAATGATCAAAAAGTACAGATTTATGTTTGGTTGGTATAAAAACTTTCCTTTCTGAGCATGGATTAAATTGATATTTGTAATTTCCCCCATAGTAATTTACATTAGATGGGAAACTTTATAGTGGAGTGTAGGATTTCCAAAGTCCTGCCTAGATCATGGCGTTGACTCCTAAAAAGTAGCATTAATTCAGAATAATTAACCTACAGGAAAAAATGTTTTGGGAAAACCAAGGGACAGGGTTATGTCTCTATATATATAAAAAGGAGAGATTTGCCTAAGGGAAGTTACTATTTCTGTTAATCATCCTGAGGAGAGGTTAATCCTGGGATTAAGTAGGGTCTGACTGATTTCAGTGATTGGGCCAAAACATTACGGATACTCTAACCCTTTTCTTTGTAATTGTATAACTCTGCCTTTTACTAGTTAATAAAAAAATGTGTCCTAGTTTAGGTTCTAGTTGAGGACTTTTTCTCTAACAACCGCAGTTAAGATATCTATTCACTTTGATCACTTAATAAATCAAATATTGGGCTTTGGGTAAGGTGCTGGAAATACAGATATTCGAGAAGCTTGTTGCCTTTGCCCTTGTGGACCTTAGAGGATAGTGGGAGAATTTGTATTTTTAGCCTACTAATTGTATTGCCATTTGCTTAAGGTGATTAAAAGAAATTGGAGATTTGGGTACATAAGAGACGTGAGCTATTTCTTTTTCTGGACTTTGAAAAGTTACACTCTGTTTTGTTAGTCACTGTAAAAAGGGGTATGTATACCAGACTAAGACATCTAGAGCAGTGCTGCTCCCCAGCAAATGAATACAGTGTGGGAAGCAGGGGTGCTATACTGTGGAACTCATCTATCTAGGCTGTGACTCTGATATTGTCCTTGGGCCCTTGATTAATCTCTAGGATATTCAACGTATCTCAAAGGACATGCATTTCATTTTTGAAAAAACAAAGTTATTGACCTGTTAGATGATCTCATACAACTCCTCTGTTGGGTTTTTTGAGACTTAAGTGAGATAATACCTTGTAAAAAGTGATTCTGATAGCATCTGGCACCTAATGCTAATAATGGCATATGATTCATAACTGATATTATGTTGCTGTGCTAAATATGTCTGTATTTGTTCATTTAATCAACTTACACAGATTATACTATATTGTACTAGCTCCACTCTAAGGAAAGGCAGTGGAGCCAGAGAGATTAGATAACTTGCAACTATAAGTGACATATAAGCCCTTCATAAATCAGAGTTGTTTTTCAGGTTAATACTTCCTCAAAGTGTCAGGTTTTTATTGTTGTTGATGTGTGTTACTTCTTTCTTTCTAGGCGTCATAGAGACCTCAGATCGACTGGACCGGGAGACGACTTCCCATTACTGGCTAACTGTCTATGCCACCGACCAGGGTGTTGTGCCTCTGTCATCATTTATAGAGATCTACATAGAGGTCGAGGATGTCAATGACAATGCACCACAGACATCAGAGCCTGTTTATTATCCAGAAATTATGGAAAATTCTCCCAAGGATGTATCTGTGGTCCAAGTTGAGGCTTTTGATCCAGATTCTAGCTCTAATGACAAGTTAACATATAAAATTACAAGTGGAAACCCACAAGGATTCTTTTCAATACATCCCAAAACAGGTAAGCATTATATCATTATATGAAATATTGTCCCTTATGTTCTCCTGATACAGGACAATTTAGGAATTTTCTAAATTGGCCACTTTTCTTTAGCATTTAATAAATTGTTTTCCCTTCAGAACAAGCCTGTATTTCCAGATGAAATTTTAGTACATGCTTTTTTTTTCCTTTGAATTTGCTTTAATGAAGTTATTTTATACTTTTCCTCATTTGTAGAGTTTCACTTTCAGATTAAAGAGCAAATATTGTTTCAGTAATAGTTCCAAATTAATGTTATAACTTGAACTTAGTGCAAACTCTATTACTTGTCAAGTATCCTGAGTTTCTTAACTTTGCTTTTTATGAAGAATATTAGGAGTTTATTTCATAATCACAGCGTTGTGGGGTTTTTATTTTTTTAATATTGTATAAGAATTTTTCCGTAGAGGACACTTTTTCTCTGCAGACAGTAGGAGAAATCAGAATCAAAGTTTTCAAATTGGGAGCAGTTACTTTACATTTGACAATGCATCTACTTTTTTTCTTAGTTCTTGGTGTTCTTCTCCACATAATTTCATTAAAAAGAAGCTAAAAGTAGCTAAATTTGTGTTGGGGAAAAGTTAGCTGTCACTGACACAATGAAAACATCATATGGAGAGTGTCCTGCTGTTCAGACAAGAACCATTGAGAGGACAATTTAGTTGTAGGGAAATAAAATGTCTCAGTGAACAGACCAGAGGCTTTTGAAGGCAGATATTTTGGTGATTCAGTACCACAGAGCACACTTTTTGTATGGTAAATTATTAGTCTTTAAAACTCTTGTCAGTATTTCAACCGTTCACACAGACTGTCAAGACTTTTGAAAGTGAACAAGATTTATTTTGAAATTATGGTGTTTACTTTTGCTTTGGAATAATTGTTTTAGCTCTTTAGCCAAATTCTGACATATTCCTCTGAATGGGAATAGGAGTGGGGTTTGGATTTTTAGAAAATCCAAATCAAATTTTTATTTCATAATCAAATCCATTTGATTATGAACGATTTTGAGTCTTATAAGAGTTTACCTGGGAGAGAACCAGGATCTGAGCATTTTCTTCTGGAAATTTAGGGTAGGGTGCAGGAGTCTGAACCCAAGAAAAAGGGCTGGAATCATGAGATTTTACAGAAATAAGATTTGAATTATTATCTGTAAGTGAATAAAACACTTGTTTAAGCAGTGTAGTTAGATGCTGTTACTACTGCATAAGTGATAACCTAAGTTCAGACTCATTTTTCGTGAAATGAAAGAGAACAAAGCTAAAAAAATTAGGCACCATCAAATATAAATGAAGATTAGAAGTTTATAAAAATTTCAGAGAATTTTGGAGACAAGAAACTATTTGCCTAGGACCAAGAGGATCATAGACCTTGAGAAAGAGAGAAATCTAGACGTTGAAGGCCTTGAGGATACTTCAAGAACATAACTTATCCCTATTATAAAATTGTTTGAGGTAGACTCTAAAATGTTTTCATTTTCTTCCTCTTATCTTTTAGATTAGGTTAATAATAAGCTTCTGTGAAGAGCAGACATGCAAGCAGTGAATGTTCTTTTAAATGTCTGAATAAATACTGTATATCTGGACATATATATTTGAGGAGAAGTAGAATGAAGAAATAAGGAAATTATATCAGCCAGAGCTATTGTGGGGCTCTTTAAAGCCTTGGTTATCCTTGGGGCCTCTGGAATGAAATTATTCATGTGGTGTTATGTCTTATAGAAATGTGATTAATAGGACATTGCCAAACCCTTTCACATCTCTATTCTGACAACTCTGGGAGAGATGTCTGCAAGGCTTCTTATTGTCAGAGAGAATAAATCCCCTCTAGGAGTGCACAGATAACTCCCAAACACCTGGGTGCAAGCACATGCACCCAGCTGACAGGACAGCAGGAGAAAAGTGATTAGGATTACAAAGAGGCTTTATTTTTTAATGAGTTGAAAGCAGATAGAAGGGGAGAATGGCTCTAGTCGGTACTCAGGAATATTTGTTGTGAAATGTATTATGCACAGTCTGGTTCCTTATAAGCTCCTCTCATTCCACCCGAAGTCCATAAAGATCAAGAAACAACCATATGTTAGCATGCACATTATTAAGGAATATAGTTAATATAGCTTCACAAGGTCTTTTGTTCATGGCTTTATTCCCTCAACTCAGCAGAAAATTTGGGTATGATCCTGGGTCCAAAGTATATATCTTCACAAAAGCCATCTAACTTGTAATAGGTAGGTCAGTAATATTGGGGGCCAGACTGTAGAAGCTGATGAAAGAAAGTTCCTGTGATTTACTGATGCATAACACCACCTGGAGACCCTAAATCATGTTACTTAATAATTAATGGCTGAGTGAGAAAGTCACTGAGATGGAAACGAAGAAATCTGGGCAACAGTGACGCTTTACCTCTGGGACCCCGGTGTTCCTTACATTTTGTGATTAGTGTTGAGAAGCTTTTTTGCATGCATGTTCAGTCCAGCACTGAGAATCATTCATGGGAAAGATTGATTCATGGGAAAATCATTCATGGGAAAGCCATGACTACTTGCATATGTTAAACTATACATAAGATCAAAATGTTAGGAGATTGATAAATGTGTGCATCTTCTTTGAATAAACACATTTCACAGAGTAAAGTAAGTCTACTTGCTCCTTAGTGGTAAAGATAAATTTGAGACCCTGGTGATTTTCAAAATGTCCAGCAGCCTAGAAAATGCCTAAATTAGTTGCCATTAAATAATTGTTTATGCGTCAAGTATTTACTGAACTGCTCTGTGTCCAGCATGTTAAGAGATTCTTTGCAAGTTTGTAGTCTAAATAAGGGAAATAGCAAGAGAAACAGGTAGGTATGAGATCGTGTGCCCTTGGCTCGAATAAACACCTCTGGAGGAAGTGAGAAGCAGACTGATTTGGTGGGTGTAATTAGGAGGATGAGGCCCCTTGGTAAAATTATTGGTCTGATCTTGAAGATGGCTTGAGAAGAGGTAGGGGATGCTTGTCATATTGGAGCATAATTTAAAGGAGTGATGAGTGTTAGCAGCCAAGAGATAGAGTTAGGTAAATGTATGAGAGAAAGGCTGTACTTGGTGGAGAATCTTAAATACCAGAATAAGGGTTAAAGGAAAATATTTTTACAAATAATGACCTGTTGAGAGTCTACATGTAATCCCTTGGAGTATTTTATATGTACTTAAATGATCTCACCAAATGACCTCATTTTTTTTTTTTTTTGTAGATTTATTTATTTTTATACAAGAGCTGGGGTATAGGCCAGAGGTGCAGGAGGGTGAAAGGATTCACCAGAGACAGAGCAGGGAGCAGACTAGGCAGAAGGACCGAAATACACTGCTGAGGGGAGCAGCGGGCGCGACAGGAGACAGGAGAGGTCTGCCATGCCCTGTGGGAATCAAACCCGCGCTGCAGAGGCTGTGGACAGCTTCACAGTGCTGCGCTCATCCCGCTGCACCACTGGGGAACTCCCTCCAAATGACCTCATTTTGGACAGGGCATCTCCATAGTACCCTCTCCTTTTGTTCATAGTATGACAAAGTATTTTTTTAAAAACAACAAAAGAACATCCTTGGGACTGGTTTTATATTCTGAATTGGGGATTCTAAATAGTATGTTTGAATAAAGATGTTTGCGTGTTTTTTTATTTTTCAGTCTGTTTTGTGCTTGGCTATGGTGCCAGAACTGTCTGCACCTCAGTTATTATTTATATTGTTTGTAAGTAGGGTGGTGGGACATTTTCTTTCTCAGAATGTACCAGCAACAGAAATGAGGATCCATTTTCTTTTTCTGACAACACACACTTCTGTTGACACCATAAATTTTGTCATTTTTTTTTTTTTGCTTGGTAATATCCAGTATCAGTTAGGGGGCATTTGCTTCTTTTGACATTTACTTGTGCAGTTATTCAGGGTAGGAGGGAGACAAGTGCCAGAATGTTAGATTGTAGGAACCTTGACTGCCCCCAGCTCCTGCAAGCAAATGCGTCACAGCTTTGTTTGTGCTGTGTCAAGGACAGAGAAGAAGAGGAGTTGCAGAGACAGTAGGGAGCAGTGTGAGCCTCCTGGGTCTCACTATCCACCAGTAACCTCAGGAATCTGAAACCACCCTAGTAAACTGTCTTTGTAATCAGTGTTATCAATTTGAACTTTTGAGGAGTGATAGGTAGTTTATAATTGGCAGATAATTTTAAGTGTTACATTTTTAGGCATGTGTGGGCTTTAGAAAGTCAGACCATAAATTTATTCTCTTGTCTGTGTGTTTGGTATTTTCCAAGTTTTGGACACAAAGCAAGTATTGCTCTTTACCTAAAAAAGCTTTATTGAAGTATAATTGAATTGCACTGAAATGCTCAGACTTAAATAAGTCTTGAATAGCTGTACCATGGGCAGCCATCACCAGGGTCAAGCAGTGAATATCTCTGTTGCTCTCCAACGTTTCCAGTGCTTTTGTGAATTCCCTCCCTACTTCTCTCTGTTCCCAGCTTCAGGCAACCACTGACTTGCTTTCTGTTACTCTCTCTTTGTTTGCATTTCTTAGAAATTTATATAAACGACTCATATCTATACTTTGGTTTTTGGAGTGTAGAAATTGCACTTAGCATGTTTAATTTGAGACCCATGCATGTGGTAGTGCGTGCCCTTTGTCTTTCCTTTCTTTTGTAATAATACCAGTGTGTAGATATGTCACACTTAGTGTTGTACAGTCTCAGACAGGTGTAGGCTCTGTAGTCACTGCTGATGGGCACTTGTGTTCTTAGTGCTTTTGGGGTGTTACAGATAAAGCCACGGTGAACATTTGAGTACAAGTCTTTGTTTGGAAATAAACTTGCATTTCTCTCATGTTTGAGCTAAGGGTGACTAACTGGAAATTGTCTCAGAGCAATAAACTGGGACAGTTTAGGTCTCAACTCATTTGCTTTCTGTTTCTCAGGGATCTTTGCCTGATTCACGTCTAGTGGTGCGTAAAGTTATTCATTTA